CTGCATTTTAAAACATCTAAATTATGGATGGATAATTCAGAAGTAACTACTAATATCCTTTCTAATTTTTAACAAACTCCAGGGGAGACCTTCAATGTTTAGTAATGGACATACATGCTGTCTCCAGATTTTAATCAGAGCCAATACATTCTAACTCTTGTGATAAACTAAACTAATATCATCAAATCACATCATGCTTCGAGTTTGACTAACGCGAATTGAACCTAACACTATTCAACAAGGCGTTTATATGGTTCTACAGCATCCAATAATTCGATTAAAACACAGTCCACACAGTCCTATCAATGTACATGGTATACTGTCCAAATGAATACAAAAGTGAATTGTATTTGAACAAATGTAAAGTACAGCTTGCACTTCAATTCTTCTTCCAATAGGATTATATATTGGACTCACATTCATAAGTCATTTGAGGCTGAAACAAGTACCTGGAATTTGAGGTGAAATAAAAAGTAAAAATCAGCTCGAACAACAGCAGCACAGCAGACACAATTCAGCAGGGGATCAACAACTTTAAACAGAGAAGCCAGGAGCAAAATAGAGTGCAGCAAATTTTCACATTCGAACTTCAAACTTCAATCGACCAAAACAAATCAAAGCTGAACTGAAAGTGCAAGAACAGAATGCAGGAACGGAACTTTGAAAGTGAAATTCAGTTGCTAAACTGGATATGACAGTAGACCTATGGATTGTGAAGCTATTTTTGGTTGAATTTTCTAGGATTTCTCTCTAAGATCTAATGTTTCTACAACTCTACTATCTATTCCTACCAGAATTATTTTGGATTTTCAGTAATTTTTTTTTTTTGTAGTTTGAATTTGAAATTTTCAGGTTTTCTCTAAGCTTCTAGGATTTGAAATTTTGAATCTTTTCCAGATTTTGGATCTCTAAAATTTCTAGACTTTCTGGGGAGTTTCCAGATTTTTCAGACCTATTTTTCAAGGCAGAGGTGACTGCCTTATATAGGCAAACTAATGAGCAGCCCTCAGATTTTTGTTTTCATTCCAGTCCCTCTTTATTTACTCATTTAACCCCTTTGTTTCCTGACTTGTGTCACAAGTTAATACACTACAATTATTGAAATTACACTAAAGTCCTACTTTGGAAGGTCCTAGAAGATTCTAGTTTCAACTACCATGTGCTATCTAATCCTAAATGTCTAAACTACCCTTGAATTCAAACTAAAATTACTAACACTAGTTGAACTATCAGCTATAACCAAACCAGCTACTCAACTATGATTAATATATCAAGGCTAGAACCAATTATTTCAATCAAAAAGACCCTAAAATCAAACTAACAGAATTAAATCATCACATGAAAACTAGAACAGTATCAATTAGCATGAAGAAAATTATTCAAACTAGCAAAAGCTTAAACTAAACCCCATGACATTTAATGATAAAGAATTCAAACACAGCAAAATTGACAAATTACTATCGACTAGCAGAGGAGGAATCAAAGAAGAATTTAAACTAAACTAAATTACCAGGCCTAAAGTACTAATTATTGCCAGAAAAAGAAAAAAGGAAAGTAGAAAACCAGAAAGAACCAAAACAAAAATAAAGCAACCTGAATGAATGAATCAGAACGAAAGAGAACTAATTAAAGAAATAGGAGATACTCACATATGCAGGGTCGAATGGGAGACTGAAAACTCAATTCGAGCCTCGGAACAATGTTAAGCATTTGTCCTTCTCAAAGAACAAACGAAACATTGTTTCGTGACTCGAATCCAATACTGGACTCAAGAAATCAGGCAAAAATTAAGCAAAACGAATTTCTAGGGTTCTGCCGGCTCCGAGATTCGAGATTCGAGCCGTTCTGATGATGTTTGAAGGGAACCAATGAGGGATTCACGAAGAGGGAGACCAGGAGATTATAGGGTGTATTTTTGGGGTCGTTTGGGTGGTGGCGCCGCCGTGGGCAGTGGTGGCGGCGCCTAGGGTTTGGAGGATTTGGGATGTTTAGTTGGGATTTGAAAGAAAATAATGGAGGATATGGGATGGGGAAATGAAAGAGATGTCATGGTGAAATTTTGGGCGTGATTGGAGCATCGCCGCCGGCGGAGGCGATTTTCGGCCGGCGGCGGACAGCGGAGGATGGCGGAGATACGGTAGTAGATGGCGGTGGGAGATAGGGGTACGAGGAGGATGGGTTATGTGGTTTATTTTTGTGAATTGTTATTACATTTATATTTTAAATGTTGGGACACACCTTGACCGTTGGATTGGGAGAACGGATGGCCTGGATTGATGGACGCCCAAAACAGCGTCGTTTTGATTAAAAGGGACTAGACCGGATCACTGTGAGATTGGGCTTGTGATTTGGTCCGGTTTTAGGTGATTCTTGGGCTTAAAATTAGATTTTGGCCCAAAATTTGGTCTTTTATCAAGACCATTCTTTTTATTCTTTTTACTCCATTCTTTTTGTTTCCTTTTTGTATTTTTGTATTTTTACTTATTATTATTTTTTGATTTTCTGATTCTATTAAATGTAAAATCAAGAACACCCAACTTTATACTTAATTGATTTCCAAAATTAGCTAATTCCTAATTTAAAAGAAGACTAAACCAAAAACAAAACATGTAAAATGTAGAATTAAAAATGGTAAAAAGACTATTTTTGTTATATTTTATTTTTTTTCTCTTATTTTAGTATTGTTAATTGATTAACAATATAAAATCAAATTCTAAATGCAAACATATTATTTTTGTACTTTTTTTTATGAATTCTAACAACTAAAAATGCACACAAGAATGCAAACCAGACGTAAAATCATGCAATTAATTCCTAAAAATTCAAATAATAAAAGAAAAAGTTCTAATTCTAATGAATTTATAGGAGTAAATTAAGTGTGGCAAAAATCACGTGCTCACACGTGCTACGCGGACAACTCACGCGCTATGGTATTAATATCCTCACAACCACGCCCTCGGCCTCACTCAGTCATGTACCTCACTAGCCTCACCATCATCAATAAATAAGGGAACACAACCCACATCAAGTATCACAGCATATTAGCAAATAATAGAGACTGAGGTAAACATGTACAATAATTTCTATGACTGAGTACAAATAAATTGAGCATGAATAAAACCTAAACAGGATCTCTAACATGAAGGCAAACAAGTTCAACAACAAGTAAACACATAACCATAGATAATAGCTTTTAGGCCTGGCCTTACGGGACGGACCAAGTCTCAATCCCTCGCGGTGCACACCCACACGCCCGTCACCTAGCGTGGGTATCACCACCAAACAATCACATGATATCAATTTCTCCGGGTTTATACCCTCAAAGCCAGAGTTAAAACTGTTACTTACCTCAACAGCGTAAAATCCTACTCCGGAATGTCCTCGTCCCTAGACTCGGTCTCCAAAAGCTTCAAATCTAACCATAATCAGAATACTACTATCAACATAGTCTAAAGAATCGAATTACACAATAAAAACTACATAAACATGCCAAAAATCCGAAATCGTCCAAAACTCGGCCCCCGGGACCACGTCTCGGAATCACTCAAAAATGGCAGAATAATAATCCTCGTCCTCTCCCGAGTCTAACCATATAAAATTTGTCAAAATCGGACTCCGTTTGGTCCCTCCAATCCTCACTTAAAACTCTCTAAAACTCAAACCCTAACTCCCTCAATTTCACTTTGAAATCATCAATCAAATCCCAAAAACGAAGATGGATTCATAAATTATAATAAAAATCGAGTAGATAACACTTACCCCAATCCATATGGTGAATATCGCCTCCAAAATCGCCAAAATCCGAGCTTCCCAACTCAAAATATGACCGAATGAACAAAACCCTAGTTTTGTATATTTTTCTACCAGCTATTCTGCCTCGTTTCTCAAGCCAAACGAACCCGAAACTCGTATTTTATTCCTCCAATGGATTCCTTGTGAAATTCTAGTCAAGTTAGGCTTTTGAATCACTCAATTTGACCTTATAACGAAGGAGATATGTAGGTTTTAATATTTACAAATAGTGCAGATTTTTAAATACGCCGTCGGTGGCAATTTCGTAATTAATCTGAAAAATCTGGCAACCTAATTCCTAGTAAAATAACCATAAAATCCTCATACGATGTCCAAATTCGATGATTCTTTTTGCTACAGGTCCGTAATTACGATACGAATCTAATGCTTCAATAAAAAAATGAAATCGGAGCTCATTTGTTCAATATGATATCATTTATGCTTGAAGAAACGGCGTCGAAACATAAGAAAAACGAGCACAACACAACCCAAACTTATTCAAAACTCATCCGAGGCCCTCGGGACCTCAACCAACAATTCCAACAAGTCATATATCACTACCCGAACTTAGTCAAACCTCCGAAACACCCAAAACAACACCGAAATACTAAATCAACCTCGAATTCAAGCCTAAGAACTTCTAAACTTCCAACTTTTGCCAATTCAAGCCTAATTCTACCTCGGACCTCCAAATTATATTCCGGACATACTCCTAAGTCTAAAATCATCCAACGAAGCTAATCGAATCATAAAAATCCAAATCCGAATTCTTTTACTCATAAGTCAACTTCCGGTTGACTTTTCTAACTTAGCTTTCTAATTAAGAGACTAAGTGTTCATTTCACTCCAAAACTACTCCGAACCCAATCCTACCAACTCGATACAACTCAACACAGCTGAACAACATATAGATAAGCATAGATGGGAAAAATGTGGCTATAACTCTCAGAACGAACGATCGGGTCGTTACAAAAACACCTTGAGATTATTGATCATACGCCGTAGCATGTATAGCTTGAGATATATAGTTACAACTAATTGATTGTTCATTTTGGAAAATAAAAATACAAAACCATAGACTAATAGCTATATTACGGTGGCATTTGATTGAAATTAAATATGAAAAGCAAGAGTTATACCCATAAATACAACTTTATTTAATTAGTCATATAAATACATCTTTATTCAATTAGTCATAATATTTTTCCTAACAAATAACTTTACATGTGAGAAAAGAGAAAGACAACACCAATGATTATTAAAACTTATATAGCATGATTTTATTCACTTTAACTTTTATTTTAACTATTCGAAAAAGTTCAAGGCATTTTCTCATTGTAGTACTCATTGTTGTTGTTGTTAGTACTGCCACCATTGTAGTACTCCTTGTTATTGTTGTTGTTGTTAGTACTGCCACCATTGTAGTACTCCTTGTAGTTGTTATTGTAGTAGTTAAAACTATAACCATTGTGGTACTTCTCGTTGTTGTTGTTAGTACTGCCACCATTATAGTACTCCTTGTTGTTGTTATTAGTACTGCCACCATTGTAGTACTCCTCGTTGTTGTTTTTGTTGTTGTAACCGTTGTAGTACTCCTTGTTGTTGTTGTTAGTACTGCCACCATTGTAGTACTCCTCGTTGTTGTTTTTGTTGTTGTAACCATTGTAGTACTCCTCGTTGTTGTTGTTGTTGTTGCTGTTAGTACTGCCACCATTGTAGTACTCCTCGTTGTTGTTATTGTAGTGGTTAGTACTGCCACCATTGTAGTACTCCTTGTTGTTGTTATTAGTACTGCCACCATTGTAGTACTCCTCGTTGTTGTTTCTGTTGTTGTAACCATTGTAGTACTCCTCGTTGTTGTTGTTGTTGTTGTTGCTGTTAGTACTGCCACCATTGTAGTACTCCTCGTTGTTGTTGTTATTGTATTGGTTAGTACTGCCACTATTGTAGTACTGCTCATTGTTGTTGTTATAGTTGTTATAGTTATTATTGTTGTTAGTACTGCCACCATTGTAGTACACGTTGTTGTTGTTATTGTTGTTAGCACTGCCACCATTATAGTACTGTTTTTTGTCGTTGTTAGTATTGCCACCATTGTAATACTCCATGTTGGTGTTATTTATATTGTTAGTACTACCACTATAATAGTACTCCCCGTTATTGTTGTTCATGTTGTTAGTATTACCACCATTGTAGTACTCCCTGTTGTTATTGTTGTTAGTACTACCACCATTATAGTACTTCTCATTGTTGTTGTTAGTAGTAGTAGTACCACCATTATAATACTCTTCGTTGTTGTTAGTATTGCCACCATTATAGTACTCCCCATTGTTATTGTTTTTGTTGTTACTATTGCCCGTATTTTTGTACTCCTCATTGTTATTGTTGTAGTTCTCGTCGTCCTTTAGGACAGTGACATAAGCCACAGGGTTGTAATTCTGGGAAAGGTATTTGCTATTGGGAATATTATTAGTTGGGGTGGTGGTGGGATTGATTTCTTTGTAGGATTTTTCTATATTATTAGTAGTGGTTGTGAATGAAGGAAGTTGACCAGATTCATGACCATATATGCCATACCCATTATTTTCATTTTCAGACAAGAAGTTTGGTTCTTGTTCTTTGTTGGAAACTACTTGTGTCTTTTTTTCAGCATTGTAGTTGCTGGAGATTTTGTTAAAAAATTGACTTTCTCTAGCATGGATTTGCAATAAAGAAATGAGGGTAAGAAGGAGGAAGATGAAGGAGAAATGATTGGTAAAGGCAGCCATGAGAAAGAAAAAAGAAATAAATTTATATAATGTCTTAGTGCTATGAACTTGCTATGATTGTTTCTTTATATAGAGACCACTTCTCATTTTTAAGTGTGCAATCCTTAAGTGTTTGAATCTTACTTTTGAAATTATTTTGAGACCTACTTTACTTTTTTCTTCTTTTGTCCAAGGAGAGGTGAGGGGAAAGGTTGGAGTGATTATTGTTTCCTTCCAAAATTTCCTGCTGATTAGGTGCAAATAGGGACATGTAAAATGGAGGAAAATCCGAAAATAGTAGTCCTTGTATATTGATAAGGAAAGTACTGTTTTTTGCGTTTTACTTTGTATATTGATAATATAAAAGTTATTTTTAAAATTTTTTAAAAGGTAATTACATGTGATTATATGTAATAAGTGAATTTAGCAACTGAAAGAATAAAGTAAATAATCTTTTATAACATATTAAATTACACATGTAAAGGTTACATTACATCGTTAGGAGATATAAGTGCTTACTACTTAGTTCATTTCTTATATATCGATAGTACTCTTTCTTTAGTTTTTACTATAATTTTCTACTTTAAAAATAGGAAGAGAGAAATAAAATTAAAAGAAAAAAAATGAGAAGATGAAAAACAGATAAGGTGATAAAGCGTGGATTTTGGAAGACTGGTAGGAGGGTTTAAAGAAACTTCCATATTAGGAACATTGAAAATTATGACATTTGGTGAGCACTCAAAAATCAAATGTTACGTGCACATCTCTTAATATTGTCTACTAGAAAGTGCATCCCTAAAACCTAACCTTTTTTTCACTTCTCCTGTGTTTGATTGATCCTCTTCATCCTTCTTCTCTGTCTCAATTTGCATGCTTATTTAAGTATGTCCAACAATTGACTTATATTATTTTCCACTTCAAAGTGTGTATGTCTATAAGAAATAATGTGTATTTAAAAAAAATATTAAAAAAATAGTTAGTGAATTACTTTGTTTTTACACCAATTCAGAAAATTTATCATGATTAAGTGGAAAAACTTGTAACGATCCGGCCGATCGTTTCATGAGTTGTAGCCCTGTTCCCCCATTTTCTGCTTCTTTTGTGTCATCGCTGTGTTGTGACTTACCGGGTTAGTTGCTTTGGGTCCGGAGTGATTTTGAAGTGAATTAAGACACTCAATCTCTTAGTTGAAAGCTTAAGTTGGAAAAGTTGACTGGATATTGACTTATATGTAAACGACCTCGGATTTGAATTTTAATGATTCGGTTAGCTCCGTTAGGGGATTTTGGACATAGGAGCGCGTCCGGAATGAGATTTGGAGGTCCGTAGTAGAATTAAGCTTGAATTAGCGAAAGCTGAAATTCTGGCGATTTTGGCCGGCAGTGGAAATTTTGATATCGGGGTCGAATTGGATTTCCGGAAGTTGGAGTAGGTTCATGGTGTCATTCCTGACTTGTGTGCAAAATTTTAGGTCATTCGGACGTGGTTTGGTAGGTTTCGGCATCGTTTGTGGAATTTGGAAGTTTAGAAGTTCCTTAGGCTTGAATCCGGTGTAATTTGTGTTTTTGATGTTATTCGAGGTGATTTGGTGATCTGGCTAAGTTCGTATGATGTTGTTGGATATGTTGGTATGTTTGGTTGAGGTCCCGAGGGCGTCGGGTTGATTTCGGGTGATTAACGAAACAAGATTGTAGTTTGAAGGATTCTGAAGTTGGCCTGGTTCTGGTGTTTTCGCACCTGCGGTGGGGAGCCTGCAAGTGCGGTCCCGCAGAAGCGAAGAGGTGGTCGCAGATGCGGGCAAGGCTGTGGTGGAATGGAAGCACAGGTGCGAGGTTAGCAGCGCATCCGCAGTCCCGGAGATGCGAAAGAAGAGCGCAGATGCGGAAAAGGGCCTGAGAAGGGAGGATCGCAGAAGCGGGCAAGGCCCGCAGGTACGTACACGCGGGTGGGAATATTTTACCGTAGATGCGCAACCTGGGAGATTAAGTAGAATCCGTACCTGCAATGGAATTCCTGCAGGTGCGGCGTCGTAGAAGCGACAAAGAGACCGCAAGTGCGGTTTTACTGGACAGAAGGTATAAATAGAACACTTCGGGATTTTTCACCATTTTCATCATTTTTTAGCTCGGATTTGGGGATTTTGAGAGGGATTTTGAAGCAAACACTAAGGTAAGTCTCTTATGCCTATTTATCTTCAATAATGGTATTTTCCCACTGATTTTACACTAGTTGGTGAGTTTTCCAGGTGAAATTTGGGAGATTAGGGCTTGAGAATTGGAGAGTGAGTTTTGGGGATTTGGAGGGTCAAATCATGTCGGATTTGGATGAATTTAGTATGGTTAGACTCGTGAGTGAATGGGCTTTAGGATTTTGTGATTTTTGTTGGATTTCGAGACGTGGGCCCGGGGGCCGGTTTTGAGTCAATTTTGGATTTTGGCTCTACTTTAGTAGTTTTCTTGTGGAATTGATTCCTTTAACCTTTATTGATTGTGTTGTATTATTTGTGGCTAGATTCAGGACGTTTGGAGGCCGATTTAAGAGGCAAAGGCATTGCGGAGTAGGAATTGGCTCGGATTGAGGTAAGTAACAGTTATAAATCTGGTCCGGAGGGTATGAAACCCCGAATTTTGTGTCGTATGACTATTTTGGAGGTGATGCACGTGCTAGGTGACGGGTGTGCACCGAAGGGTTTGTGACTTGGTCCGTCCAGTGAGATTGTAGAATCGATTAGCCTACCGTTTACTACGTGTTCCCTCTGTTTTTATGGAAATTGACTGCACTTTATGTTAGAAATCTTGTTTAGGCCTTATGATATCACTGTTGAGACCCGTGAGGTCGTGTACTTACTGAATTAACTACTATTTATTGTTTTGTTCTCAGTAATGATATTACTTGCGTATCTTACCTCCGTCCCTTCCTATTTATCACTGATACATGTTATTACCTCTGTTTGGGCTGAATTATATGCTTTTCTAAGAGCTCGAGGGACTGAAGAGGTTGGTGATATAGATAGGACCTGAGTGCCGAGCTGTGAGCTATGTGAGAGTATATGGATCGGGTTGCACGCTGCAACGAGCCTCAGGGCTATATATGTATATGCTGGATCGGGTTGCATGCCGCAACGAGCCTTCGGGCTAATGATCTATATTAGATTGGGTTGCATGCCGCAACGAGCCTTGTGGCTGTTCATATACTGGATCGGGCTGCACACCACAGCGATATAGCGTTTGGGCTGAAGGAGCCCCTCCGGAGTCTGCACACCCCCAGTGAGCGCATGTACCTATTGAGTATGATTATTAAGGGCTGAGAGCTGAGTGACTGTTGTCTTAAGAGACTGTACTTGCTTTCAATTATTTGTTGCACTCAATTGTTATCTGTCCTTGTTGCACAAATTTCTGGAAGACTTGATATCCGGTTTACTTGAGCACGAACTGATTTGACTTAAACTACTAAATTTGAAAGCATGACCGTTCTTTATTTGAACGTTATTAAAATAAACTGTATTTGCATAGCTCGTCACTGCTTCTCAGTTCCTTATTTATTTCTATTACTTACTGAGTTGGAAGTACTCATGTTACTCCCCAGACCTTGTGTGCAGATTCAGGTGAGACCGGTCGAGGAGGTCGTTGACTTCGTGCGCAGTTGGCTATCGGAGACATACGAGGTAGCTGCCGGCATCCGCAGCCCTTGTCTCTCTCTCCATTGTTATCTTTTCTTTCTGTTTTGGCATTCGTGGACTATTGTAAACTCTGATTCTAGACTGGTTTTAGATGCTCATGACTTAGTGACACCCCAATGTCAGGCTATCTTTTCCGCATTTTTATTTTGAGTTCAACTCTTTTATGAAGTTTCTATTATGAAAAAAAAGACTTTGACTTATCTTTTAATAAATTATCGAATTGTTTTGAAAGGCGTCGGCTTGCCCAGCACCACGATAGGCGCCATCACGACAGGTTAGAGTTTTGGGCCGTGACAAGTTGGTATCAGAGCCTAGGTTACATAGGTCTCACAAGTCATGAGCAGGTTTAGTAGAGTCTTGCTGATCGGTATGGAGACGTCTGTACTTATCTTCGAGAGGCTGCAGAACCTTTAGGAAACTTCACATTCTTGAATTCTTATCGTGCGAACTTGTTGATTCTGGTAACTAAACTTGTGTTATTCTATTCTCTCACAGATGATGAGGACACGCGCTACTGGTCAGGACGTGCGGCCACCAGTACCACCAGTTGGGGCCTCGAGAGGCCGAGGTCGCGGTAGAGGCCGTAGTAGGGGCAGGGGTGCAGCCCGTACAGTAGCCAGGGTAGCACCTGCAGATCCACCAGCTGCCCTAGTTCAGGATCAGGTCCCGGTTGTAGATGCACCAACTGTGCCCATTGTTATTCCAGGACTTCAGGAGGCCTTGTCTCAAATCTTGATCGCCTGCACCAGTCTTGCTCAGGCGGTCTCTGTTCTGGCCGTAGCAACCACTTTTCAAGCTCGAGGAGGTGCTCAAACTGCCGCCGCCCGCACACCCGAGCAGGTTGTACAGGGACTTCAAACACCGGGGCCACTACCAGCCCAGCCCAGCCAGTGGCAGCTGCTCAGGACTATGTTCCAGCCATGCCTGATAATGAGCAGCGTAGATTGGAGAGGTTTGGGAGGCTCCAGCCTTTGACTTTCAGCGGTGCAGAGGGCAATGATGCCCAGGGTTTCTTGGACAAGTGTTAGAGGATTCTCCGTACAGCAGGCATTCTGGAGACCAGTGGGGTCTCGTTCACTACTTTTCAGTTCACTAGAGTTGCCTTCACTTGGTGGGAGGTTTATGAGAGGCGTAGGCCGGTTGGTGCAGCACCACATACACGGCAACAGTTCTCCGTTCTCTTCTTGGAGAAGTATGTGCCGCAGTCTCGTAGAGAGGAGCTGCGCAGGCAGTTCGAGAGGTTGCGCCAGGATGAAATGACTGTGATGCAGTATGAGATGAGATTTTTTGAGTTAGCCCGTCATGCTGTTTGGTTGGTTCCCACAAAAAGGGAGAGGATTAGGAGGTTCATTGATGGCCTCACATTTTAGTTGTGGGTGCTTATGACTAGAGAGAGGGTGACCGGTGCTACTTTTGAGGAAGTTGTTGACATTGCCCG